TATTGAACAACAACCATGTTCTCAATGAACCCAAAAACTCATTAATATCAAAGCTGAATATTTTTGGAAGTAGTTTTTAGTTTGTTTTTAGTTTTAGCTATGTTAGGGGGGTATCTGTGTGTGCAGGTGACTATTACTGTGCATAATTATTAGGCAACTTAACAAAAAACAAATATATACCCATTTCAATTATTTATTATTACAAGTGAAACCAATATAACATCTCAACATTCACAAATATACATTTCTGACATTCAAAAACAAAACAAAAACAAATCAGTGACCAATATAGCCACCTTTCTTTGCAAGGACACTCAAAAGCCTGCCATCCTTGGATTCTGTCAGTGTTTTGATCTGTTCACCATCAACATTGCGTGCAGCAGCAACCACAGCCTCCCAGACACTGTTCAGAGAGGTGTCCTGTTTTCCCTCCTTGTAAATCTCACATTTGATGATGGACCACAGGTTCTCAATGGGGTTCAGATCAGGTGAACAAGGAGGCCATGTCATTCGATTTTCTTCTTTTATACCCTTTCTTGCCAGCCATGCTGTGGAGTACTTGGACGCGTGTAATGGAGCATTGTCCTGCATGAAAATCATGTTTTTCTTGAAGGATGCAGACTTCTTCCTGTACCACTGCTTGAAGAAGGTGTCTTCCAGGAACTGGCAGTAGGACTGGGAGTTGAGCTTGACTCCATCCTCAACCGAAAAGGCCCCACAAGCTCATCTTTGATGATACCAGCCCAAACCAGTACTCCACCTCCACCTTGCTGGCGTCTGAGTCGGACTGGAGCTCTCTACCCTTTACCAATCCAGCCACGGGCCCATCCATCTGGCCCATCAAGACTCACTCTCATTTCATCAGTCCATAAAACCTTAGAAAAAATCAGTCTTGAGATATTTCTTGGCCCAGTCTTGACGTTTCAGCTTGTGTGTCTTGTTCAGTGGTGGTCGTCTTTCAGCCTTTCTTACCTTGGCCATGTCTCTGAGTATTGCACACCTTGTGCTTTTGGGCACTCCAGTGATGTTGCATCTCTGAAATATGGCCAAACTGGTGGCAAGTGGCATCGTGGCAGCTGCACGCTTGACTTTTCTCAGTTCATGGGCAGTTATTTTGCGCCTTGGTTTTTCCACGCGCTTCTTGCGACCCTGTTGACTATTTTGAATGAAACGCTTGATTGTTCGATGATCACGCTTCAGAAGCTTTGCAATTTTAAGAGTGCTGCATCCCTCTGCAAGATATCTCACTATTTTTTTACTTTTCTGAGCCTGTCAAGTCCTTCTTTTGACCCATTTTGCCAAAGGAAAGGAAGTTGCCTAATAATTATACACACCTGATATAGGGTGTTGATGTCATTAGACCACACCCCTTCTCTTTACAGAGATGCACATCACCTAATATGCTTAATTGGTAGTAGGCTTTCGAGCCTATACAGCTTGGAGTAAGACAACATGCATAAAGAGGATGATGTGGTCAAAATACTAATTTGCCTAATAATTCTGCACTCCCTGTAGATATTCAAAAGCTACTTGCAGCTGACGTAGCCCTGATGAAAAGAGACATACAACAGGTCACTGACACAAACACAGAAGAAGACATAGCAAGTGTCCACAACAATGTGACTACCCTGAAGGACTCAGTCCAACAGCTATACGTGGAACAACAAGAACTAGGGATTAGAGAGGTCAATGCGTGGCTGAAGTCTTGGTGCAGGAAAGAGGGTTTGAGGTTTTTAGAGCACTGGGCCGATTTTGCGCTTGGATACAACCTGTATAGTCATGATGGATTGCACCTAAACGGAAGAGGGTCTGCTGTGCTGGGGGATAGGATGGCTAGAAGGTTGGCGGAGATTTTAAACTAGTAGTAGGGGAGAGGGTCAAAGCAATCTAGAAAATGGAGATAGGATAGAAATGAGATGGGCTTTAGCTCTGAACAAAGGGGGTGGAAATGGGGGGAGGGGAAAGTTCAGAAGAGAGGAGGTATGTAATATTGATAATTCGCAAAAAGCACAAATGACTCATGGTAATATTAACTGTATGCTTACTAATGCAAGGAGCCTATATAACAAAATGGGGGAACTAGAGGCAATAGCATACACTAAACAATATGATATAATAGGCAGAACAGAAACATGGTGGGATGAGACACATGACTGGGCAGTTAACTTAAATGGTTACACGTTATTTAGGAAGGATAGGAAAAACAAGAAGGGTGGTAGGAGTGTGACGAGGAAAATGTGGAAGCTTTATGGGTAGATGAATACTGAAGAACTGCCGCAGTATCACCCGATACCTCCAGGGATGTTATTTTACGCTGTGTAACAATACATGATACAAGATACAAATATTGATTGCCTTGAAAGGTAAAACACCACAAGAGTTCGAGGACTCAAAGCTCTTATTCTTTCAGGTCCTCACCAGAGCCACATTACTCCGGCATAACTCCTTTGGTCCAGTGGCAACTACCCTGCGCAAACCCAACATACCATATAGTTGGGGGAACACTGGCTCATTACTTGTCCACCACTCTGGGACTGCTCACAAACTCACATCCCCAATCGGAGCCTCGGCTTTCCACAATCCACATTTGTGAGACATCCACAAATGTGATCAGCCTAGTGAATACCGAGATCACAATAACTAAAAAGTTTGTTTTGTTTTTTATTTTAATCAAGTATTGTTTTTAAATTCTCGTTTTAAGCTTTTACACACATTATATACCAAACGTACGAAGGGAAACCCAAAAACCCACAAAATTGTATGGAGACGGTTCCTGCACTACTACAAAAGCACAACGTAAAATACCATTTGCGCTCACCACAAACCTCGATACAACCCATGCCATCTCAGACCTACGAATAGCTACAGCCACTTGGCCTAACGACAGACTCTCTATGGACAATCGGTCCTGCAGGAACCACCGCAGCAGCGCACTGCTGGAACCCTGCAAAGATCATTCCATTCGTCCCGCAGGGAGCGACGTCCGACATGTACGCGACAGTTACCACCTAAATTAAAGGGACACTGTAGTCACTATAACCACTTTGTCTCTTTGAATTGGTTATAGTGCCTGGAGTGGCCTGTCACTGTCCCTCCATTCAGTGTTGCACCATGTTTGTGCAATATGCCACAAAATAAGAGTCCCTGGCCACCCACAGTCCGGCCCCTTCTGTATGTGTAGCTAAGGCAGAGAATACACACTTCCTTGTAGTCATACCCATTCATACCGTCAGTTGGAGCTCTGACAGGTTAAAAGCAGTCAGCTGACACACTCAGCCAATCACAGCTGCCCATTGCCTCTCAGGGTAATACTTCCTTATTAGCCAAAGCAGCACAGAGGGGATAGACTGCTGTGGACTCTTGTTTAGCATTAAAACATTACAACATTAAAAACTGTTTAATGCTGAGAGAAATTATGGTACCAGGGGACTCCAGACACTATAACCAGTTTAATGAGATGAAGCAGATACAGTGCCTACGGTGTCCCTTTAAGTGACTCTCTGTCAGAACTTAACTATCGGCTTCTCCGATAATCCGACACTTCCGGGTTCACGGACCAATGACACGCCCCTTTCTCGGACGCGGCTTCCTGACGCTTCTTAGAGGAACCGCGCCAGATTCAAAGTGCTTGGTTATTTTGAAGCTTCCTGAACTTCTGATCGGCTACAAACAATCTCTCGCTAAACTTCTGAACGTGTACCGAACCTGGACTGTTTAAACCGTGGATCTCCATCATAGGCGTGCGCAGCCTATTGCATTAGGGTGTGCACCCTAAAGCACAAACACCCGCCGTGTGTGTGTGTGTGTATGTATGTATATATATATATATATATATACATACATACATACACACACACACAAACACATACACTGCTGTGTGTGCTGTTAGTGTGATGTGTGTGAGGGTGCTGTTGGTGTGATGTGAGGGTATTTGTGTGTGTGTGTGTGTGTGTGTGTTTGTGACTGTGCTGTTTGTGTGTGAGGGTGTTTGTGTGTGTATGTCCTGTGAGGGTGCTGTTTGTGTGAGTGTCGTGTATTTGTGAGGGTGCTGTTTGTGTGTGTGTTTGTGAGGGTGCTGTTAGTGTGCTGTGTGTGAGGGTGTTGTGTTTTTTTTAAAGGTGCTGTGTGTGTTTGTGAGGGTGCGGTTAGTGTACTGTGTGTGTGTGAGCTGTATGTGTGTAGGTGCTGTATGTGTGTGCTGTATGTTTGGAGGGATTTGGCAGATTAGTAAATCCTTGCTGCCATGTGCCATCCCTGGTGGTCCAGTGGAGAGTGAACTCTAGCCTGCGGGGCTAGAGTTAACTCTCGCGAGATCTGAGCGTTGCCGCAACAACGCTCAGATATCGCGAGAGGAACCTGGCGGAACTTCTGTCTAGAGCTCCCTGGGTCCTCTCCTGCCTCCCTCCATGCTGCTGTGGGCCGGTGAGGTAGATCTTTGGTCTCCCCGCCGGCCCATGGAGGCTTAGAGCAGAGCCGGCACTCAGATAGCGCCGGCTCTGTGTGTGTGTGTGTGTGTATATATATATTTATATATATATGCGTACACACACACACACTCACAGACACACACACACATACACTCACAGACACACACACAGACACACACACACACACAGACACACTCACACACACATTCACAGACACACACACACACTCACACACAAACACACACTCACAGACACACACACTCACACACAGACACACTCACAGACACACACACACACTCACAGACACACAGACACACTCACACACACTCACACACAAACACACAGACACACACTCACAGACACACACTCATACACAGACATACTCACACACAGACACACTCACAGACACACACACACACTCACAGACACACACACACAGACACTCACAGACACACACTCACACACAGACACACACTCACACAGAGACACACACTCACACACAGACACACAAACACACACTCACAGACACACACACACACACTCACACACACAAGAACAAATTATTATATTTTAATAAAAAACAATGTCCACCCAGCCTCCTACCTGGAGTGCTGGTGGACTTGTCCCTGGGGTCCAGTGGGGCGGGCGCCTCTCTCCAGCTGAGCCGCGGCGAGGGAGCTCTCTGCTGTGTGCTCTCAGCTCCCTCTCGCCGTGCGGGCTGTCCGCTGTAGCTGGGAGCCGGAATATGACGTCATATTCCGGCTCCCGGCATCAGCGCGCGGCGAGAGGGAGCAGAGAGCACACAGCAGAGAGCTCCCTCGCCGCGGCTCAGCTGGAGGGGGAGGGGGGGAATCCATCACCTCTTGCCCCCCCATGACAGGGGCAAGAGGTGAGTGGGGCGCTGAGTGCCTGCAGGAACAGCGTTCCTGCTCAAAAAAAGTGCAGGAACGCTGTTCCTGCAGGACTCAAACCATAGGCGTGCCACGGGGATTAGGGTGTGCCCAGGCACACCCGGCACACCCCGTGCGCACGCCTATGATCTCCATCCTCCTTCTATTGACCTTGGATTACCTTTGGAATACTTACTGCCTTGTGAAACCTTCCAAGTAACGGCAAGTTATAGATTTGTATTAATCCTCCTACTGGCACTTCAATACTTACTGCTTAATTATTTTCCGTGCCTCCGTAGTTTAATTAGTGGACAACTATCTGCATATTGTATTCTTTAAAGCCACATGAACTCTTTTCATCAAACTCTCTACATATTGTATTCCTTAAAGCTATGGGAACTCTTCTCATCAAACCCTCTACATATTGTATTCCTTAAAGCTACAGGAACTCTTTTCATCAACCACTCTACATATTCTATTCCTTAAAGCTACAGGAACTCCTATCATTAAACACTCTACATATTGGGTTTTTTTTGTTTTGTTTTTTTGGTCATCTAAGTAGCATTTTTTTTTTTATTTCAATCTGTTTTTATTGAATTTTTATAGCAATATTAATAGACAAAACGACATCAGGGGAAGGAACCATACAGAAAAAAAGGTATCCAATTCCCAATACACATACACAGGTATAACAACATACTTCAGTTTACAACAAAGATAAACCTTCTAATACAAAGTGGTATAGTAATAATAATATCCCAAAGAACGAATATCAAAGTCCGAGAGTGGCCTAGAAACCCAAATAAATAAGACAAACAATTACAAACAAACTGGTCAAATATATTGCAGAGATATAGAAGGTCAAAAATTCCAATATTAATATAGCTAATATCAGATATGTGGCCAAGGAACACATATAATAGTGCCCGCTTCAGTATTTTCGGTTAGGCCTAAGGTGGTCACAATAGGTTAATCCAAATGCCTCAGCTCATTAAAGCCCTTTAATTTTCTCAAAACTGGAATAAAACATCAAAATATTAAAATTGGAACATTCTCTCATTTGAAACAGCCCCTTTTCCATCTCGACTTGATATAAAAGTTGGGCTTTAACTTGATCTCTAGTAGGAATGTCAATACTTTTCCAGGATCTAGCCATTAATATTTTGGTAGCCATTAAGCAATGTATAATCACAATGTCGAAATTATCTTTTATTTTAAAACCCATAAGATGGAGTAGGGCAATTTCCGGTTTATGTTCCAGATGTACACATCCAATCCTATATATAAATTCAAATGTAATATTCCAGAGAGACTTAATTCTAGGACAGGTCCACCATATATGAAACATAGAACCATCTGGGTGAAAACACCGCCAACAATTTGATGGATTTGTAATACATATTTTAGCAAGTCTAGTCGGTACCAAGTACCATCTATACAATATTTTAGTAAAGGTCTCTAGAATATTCAGACAGTGAATGTTTTTTTTAGTCCTCATAAAAGATTTACACCAATTATTAAATGGAATCGGTATTGCTAGGTCAGTTTCCCATTTGGTTAAAGCTTTGGCGATAACTGGAGTCCCATTAGTTTTTATTAGTTCTACTGCAATAGAGAATATCTTTTTAACCATACACCTGGAAAAAAAATTCCTAAACAATTTACCGAAACGGCCATCTAGCATTCATATGTTATCTTTTAAATAGCTCTTAATACGAAGGAAGTTAAATAATTATCTAGAAGGTAAATCTAACTAATTTTTAAGAACTTCAAAGCTTTTCAATTGATAATCATTATAAAGATATTTTATCTTATAATTAGAATCTTTAAACCAGTTCGTCAGATTTATCTCTAACATAAAACATGGAAAAAATTATAGAAACACCACATTTCTTTTTACCTTTTAAGGATGCAGAATAAATCAAAGGATATTTTTTGTAAAACCATAATTTCCTAGCTTCCCCTAACCAGTGGGTTTCCTGAATAAACCCTACTTGTATTTTCTGATTAACCAGTGCATTAAACAAATAACCTCGTTTAACAGGAGAGTTGAGGCCTTGGGCATTAATAGTTAGAATTCTAACCATAACTTAATCTGCATTTCTTCTTTTGGGCTCCTTGACCACATCTGCAATATACATGACCAGTTGAACATACTACACACCTGACAAAACTATATTAAAACATTCAGATCTACATAAACAACTGGAATACCAAAAATAATATTCCACGTACTGGGAATCCCATAGAATCCCACAGGAATGGGCATAGAAACTCAGAATTTCTTATAGCGAGAGAGAGAAGCGAAAGAGAGAAAAAAGAAAACAAAAAAAGGAATGGCCTATAATAGGCCTCACTTAAAGATTGTCAGAAACCAGCACCAATCAAGATTATTTACTAAATTGTAATACTCTATATTGATTACACCACTCCTAATATTACCATTCATTTTCCTATTATCCCTTTTGGGGCCATTGTGAATACACTCTCTACCTCTAAAATATTAAAAATAAACAATTCTAAATAATTTACTGTTTACAGTGCTATCATCAGATTCTTTGCGCCAACATTACCAGTATAAACTACTTCACATATTGTCCCTTTAGGGCATTATAAATACACACTTAGCTCCCAAACTTATAATCACCTTTGTGATCGCATGTAATCGCTATAACTTTAAACTCATTAAAAAAAACTAAAAAAAAACCTATCATCAATTCTAAATCGTTTAGTGTTTACAGTGATAACACCAAATTATTTGTTCCAATATTACCACGAATTATCCCTTAAAGGGCATTATAAATAAACTCTTAGTTCCCATAAACTTTTCCACGTGATAAAAAAAAAAAAAAAATCTTATCTCTTCCCCCTCCCTCTCCCTCTTTTCCTCAGGCGGGCACTAGCACATCGCCCAGCATACTAATACCTAAAGCTGCATATCATTATCTTTAAACCAAATAGGAACAAGATCTACTGTCTTGAAAGACTTCCATATATCATTATAACTAATTAGTAAAGCTGATTGAGCGGTCCATTTAAAGTTTAAACACTCTACATATTGTATTCCTTAAAACTACAGGAACTCTTCTCATCAAACTATCTGCATGGCATGTTCCTTAAAGCTACAGGAGATCTTCTCCTCAAACCATCTACCTATTGTATTCCTTAAAGCTACAGGAACTATTCTCATCAATTTATCTTCATATTGTTTAATTAAAGCTACAGGAACACTTCTCATCAAAACTATCTACACGTAGTGTTCCTTAAGGTTACAGGACTCACCTCACCAATCTATCTTCATATTGTATTCCTTAAGCTACATGAACTCTTCTCATCAATCTACCTTCATACTGTATTCATTAAGGTTACATGAACTGTTATCTTCAAACTATCTTCATATTGTGTTCAGTAAAGATTCATGAACTGTTATCTTCAAACTATCTTCATATTGTGTTCAGTAAAGATTCATGAACTGTTATCTTTAAATTATCTTCGTATTGTATTCCTTTAAATTACAAGAACTGTTCTCTGCAATCCTCCTTA